AGCCGTGAGCCTGGCTTCTGGCTGAGTGGCGCTCCCCCTGTGGGAGCTCACTGACCACCAGAGGGCTGCTCCTGCGTTGAGCGTCTGTCCCCTGGTGGTCAGTGTGCGTCATAGCAACCAATCGTTCCGCCGATTTGCATATTAGCCTTTTATTATATAGGATTTTCCTTATGAAATATTTGTTACACATTTTAAGTTATAAAGCATAAAAATAAAAAAGAATAACCAGTAACCTACCTCTCAACATAAGATTTCAACATATCCAAAACCTTAACTCCTGCTCTTTCCTACTAAACTGGCTCCACCTGCACTCTTCTCTATTCCAGTTGATAGCAACTCCTATCCTTGTAGTTATTTAGTTAAAAAAAAAACACCTTTAAAATCACTCTTGACTAATATCCTTCTCTCATACCTCAATCCCAATCCATTTTTAAATGCTGATGGTGTTACTTTAAAAATGTATTTGGAATATGACCCCTTTTTACTTCTCTACTGCTACTATCCTAGTTACAGTTGACAAATAAAAATACTGGATATCCATTAAAGCCTGAATTTCAAAAAAACAATAAATAGGTTTTGCGCTGTTGGTGTTTTTGTTTTGTTTTTTTACTGTATGTCCCATGCAATATTTGAGATATACTGAAACTAAAAAATGTTCACTATTTATCTGAAATTCATATTTAAATGGGCATTCTGTATTTTTTATTGCTAAATCTGCAAGCCCTCAACATTAAGTCTAGTTAGGTACAAACAACCTTCTTACTGGTCTCCTGACTTCTACTCTTATCTTCCATCTCAAAATTGATTTTCAACATAGCCATTAAAGTGATTAATTTAAAAGTTACATCTGATCATGTCACTTCTCTCTTCAAAACCCTGTGACTCCCCATTTTATAGGAATAAAAGCCAAATCCATTACAATGGCTCTCTATTGCCTATCTGACCTCATCTCCTACTGCCCTCTCTGCTAACATTGTTCCCTTTGTTCTAGCTACACTGGCCTTATATGCCAGGCACTTTAAGGCCATTGCTCTAGCTCCATGGTCGGCAAACTGTGGCTCCTCGCGAGCCACATGCGGCTCTTTGGCCCCTTGAGTGTGGCTCTTCCTAAGCCTTAGGAGTACCCTAATTAAGTTAATAACAATGTACCTACCTATATAGTTTAAGTTTAAAAAATTTGGCTCTCAAAAGAAATTTCAATCGTTGTACTGTTGATGTTTGGCTCTGTTGACTAATGAGTTTGCCGACCACTGCTAGCTGTTCCACTTGCCTGGAACACTCTTCCACCTTGTCTTCTTCAGCCAACTCTCTCATCTACTTTTCATTTAAATCTCATCCTCTTAGTGAGAGGCCTAGGAGGACTATCCATTTTACACATTAGGAAGAACAAAGGCAAAAAAAAAAGTAAAAATAATGAATCGCACAAATATGTGTATATTGATAAGAATTGTAATGTTGTTAAAAATGAAGTGTTGTTTGTTGAAATGCTTATTTATCAGCTAATGTATATGGTAATCTAATCCACCAAAGAAAAAGTGATTTATGGATGGATGCCAACATATAATTTATCATAGATTATATGCAACTAAAAAAGCACATGTAATATAATGTAATTCATAGAACAGTATTCTTAGATCAGTTCTGCTGCCTGGTTCCTAAGACCTTATATACATTATATAGGACTGCACTTTTTTTTTCACTTTGGTTCTCTTGATTATCCTCAAAACTGTATTACTTCAAGTCAACATTAAATTCTTTTATTATGCTTCAATACTGTTAATGCTTACATCATCTTTACTACAAAATTTTTGTTGTTTTCGCTCTTATTCCTACCTTAATTTTTTATAATTTTATATAAAAGTACTTAAATCATTGGAGGACCCACACTTAATGATGGGTCTTGTTAGTTAATAAACAAATCAATCTACATTGCTTTCTTGAGCTTTGTTGAGTTTTTTCTTCTCTTTTCAGATTTCATTTTAATAGAAAATGAAAAAAAAATCAAGTAAATGAACCAAAGTGCTATGAAGGGAAAACTGAATATATTATGAATGTTTTCCATTTGCTAAAATTTTATGATGTTTCCTCTGTGTAGATTTTTTCTCTAGTAATTCCTGTTTATATTTCCTTTTTGTACTTCACAAGAAAAATTTTAGAGGAAAAACAATAATTACAAAAGTATAGAAACTTCTAATTGTGTGGTAAACTGATTTTGCTTCTGAAATCTTATCTTTAAGTTTTCCATAAGTATTTTTATAAGAAACTAGTGCCCTGATGCACAGGTTCATGCACATTGAAAGGTAATTAATTAGAAGGTGGCTGGGGGGGAGGGACTGGGCGAGATGGGCCGGACATGCCCTGGATCCAACCTCCCGTGGTCCCTCCCTGGCTGCCGCACCTGGGGCAGCATCTGCAGAGTGAGCGGGGTCCCACTGGCAGGTGGGGTCACTCAGCCTGGCCTTCGGGGATCAGGCCAAAACCGGCTCTCTGACATCCCCCAAGAGGTCCTGGATTTCGAGAGAGCAGTTCTCAGGTGACGCACCCCGGAATTGGGCTCCCTCCTCTCTGGTTCTGGGTGTGTCACGGGTGAACCATGGTTGCCAAGTCACCACAGCTCAGCAGCTCCTGTGTTGAGCGTCTGCCCCCTGGTGGTCATTGTGCGTCATAGCTACCAGTCAGATGGTCCAATGGTCAGACAGTCACTTAGGCTTTTATATATATAGATGAGGAAGCTAGTTCTCTAAAGTTCCTTTAGTAGCAGATTCAGGTATCTTCATATGATGCTTAAAGAAACTCTTTGCTTAGCTCAATTCTCCAATTAGCTAATGCAGAAAACATCTGGTTTAATGAAGAAGCAGTGAGTAGTAATTTAAGGAAACTGCATTCTTTTATATCCGACTACTAAAAAGCATAAAAGCAATTAAGATAAATATTTCTATGGGCTTGACTAAGTTTTCTTTGATTATGACACTAAACTTTGTTTAGATATACTGAGAAAACATAGTTTACTGCCAAATAGCATCAGTTAGAAAAGAGAAAGACATACAGTATTCTACCAATCACAAAAGAGAAAATCTTTTTTCTAACACAGTATTCTTATAGTAGGTAGTAAATTTTGTTTCTTTCCCTTCCTGTGACATACTTCTCAGGGCCATGTTTGTGCCCTGACAAAAGTTTTCCCATTCTATCAAAACCATGTTTTCTTTAGGGTCCTTCAGGGAAGGAAATATATGAACTAGTAAGTGAAGAATGAAAATACTATGTCCTCTTAGGGATATTCAAAGACAAGACCAGAGTATCCTATGGGGCCTGTAGATCACTTGACAACAACTTAATAGAAGAATGATTTTATTTGGCACAGTTTTAAAGAATTATATGATTCATATGTAAAATTGTTTTAAAATTTGGTACCAACTCTTACTTGAGACATGGGATACTGTCCTTTGTTACTCCTTCACTAGCCACAGTGTTAGTGCTCCCGGAAAGACTCCTTGAAGAAGGAAGCTGAGATGAAAGATCTGGAAATGGAGGACTTGTTTCTGGTTCTGGGGTAATAATATCTTCAACATCATACTGAAGTCGTACCTCTAATGACTTTTAAAAAAACAAGTTTAAATTAATTTAAGTCATGATAATAAATAATCACATTAAAATAGCTATAATTTTTGGTAAGCATCCATTATTTTTTCTGATTGATAAGTTTAATTTCAATTTATAGTAAAGCTGAGATATTCCAAACTGAATTAAACAGTGAATTATATGAAATAAATGGCATCCACAAAAAAATTTAAAACACTTTTAAATTCTTCAGAATTGTAAGAAAAATACATGAGTGGAGATACATTTTTATATAATAAATATTCCTTAAGATAAAGTATAAATTACAATTCTCTATATGATCAAATAAATGTAAAAATTCATTCTTACACCAGAGAAAAAGATTAAAATGGATGTGTGTAGGTATGTGTTTAAAACTTGTTATTTGTACAAGGCTTTTTACTTTAAAAAAAAGCTTCCTTCAATTTTTATTTTAACTCAATAAAAATTTTCCAAAATAAATTCCATGTTTCTATTTGTTTGTTTCATTAGCTTTGCTCTTCCTTATTTAATTTCATTAGCATGGTCAGAGTTGCTTAATGAAAATCATAATTTATATTAAAATAAAAATGTGATCCAAAAACTTTTTTAAATTAAAAATGTTTTAAAATTAAGTACTTTATTATTGCATTTAATGCTTTATTAAAATTGATTTTATAACTAACATTTTTTACCATGTAAAAATCAGCATTTTTGAGAATGAAAATAACTGTTTACACAAATGTCATTATGGCATGGCGAATATTGCAAAATGATTGTCGTAATTACCTTAAAACTATAAAAAAAACCTCTGGTGAAAGCTCTAATTCCAAATCATAATCAATTAAGTGACAAAAAGGACGAGTAAACTTTAAAAAAATTAAAGGTTTAGAATGCATTCATTTCACATACATAAAATCAGTAACAATTTGCATAAAACTTGTAGACATAATTCATCCTATTTAATAATACCAAGATTTTATAAAGAATTGTTTTTGTCATTTTAAGCCAAACTTTTAAAATATACTATGCAAAAAGAATAATTAAAAATCCTATGAATTGGATTATTGGCCACATACTGCAGTCTTAGTGGCTTAAAACCATACCAATTACTAACCAAAATCTATGATAATTTCTTTCTTTTAATTAAGTGTGAAAATTAAATTTTCAATGACTTACCACTATTTCTGTTGTAATTTCATGTCTGCTGAATTTATAAATTATTACATATGCAGAGACTCCTGAAACACAGAATATTCTGCTCTCTGGACACCAGTAAATCATCTGAATGGCATATGGATCTTCTTCTACAATTTCACATGTTTGTTTTCCGTCTCCTATTTTCTGTTTTTCAAACACTTTTGAAGTTTTTAGCTTGTACAGCATCTGTAGAGTTACTATAAGATATTGAAGTATAATTACCTTCTAATTTAAACTTAATTCTTAAATGTTGTTTAAGTTTTTTTCAATATATTTGTTAAATAAAAGTAAAATGCAAATAGACAAAATAAATTAAGTTTTAACTAGTAAGTATTCAATGTCATGCTCTCTTATCAGTACAGTTTAGCTGAAGGGAGACTACAGGGAAAAAATAAGCATGTATTGAACATATATTATATACCAACAAATATGTAGGTCCTTTGTATGCATTGGCTCATGTTATCCTCAGAAAAACATCCCATTAAGTGAGTATTTTTATCCTCATGTATTTGACAAAAATGTCAGAGTTCAGAAAGTTTACAATGGAAATACCAAATCTAATTCTCCTAAGGGAGATCCCCCCTCAATTCTTTTTTACAATTTTCCCCTTTGATGAGAGGCTGGTGCTATTCTTAGAGGTTTTATGCCTCTCAGCAACTCTTTACCAGTGATGGCGAACCTATGACACCTGTGTCAGAGGTGACACGCGAACTCATTTTTTTGGTTGATTTTTCTTTGTTAAATGGCATTTAAATATATAAATAAATATCAAAAATATAAGTCTTTGTTTTACTATGGTTGCAAATATAAAAAATTTCTACATGTGACACGGCACCAGAGTTAAGTTAGGGTTTTTCAAAATGCTGACACGCCGAGCTCAAAAGGTTCGCCATCACTGCTTTAGACACTCCTTCAGATGAGAAACTTTGTAATATACCAGCCAGCAATACTAGAAATCCAATAATTTGTGATTATTTTAGAAAGAATCTTTTCTGAATGGCTCAGTGTTAGGAAAGGGTAATAAAATTGCCATACTTAAATGTTGTTGAAGTTTTTTTCAATATATTTGTTAAATAACAAAAGTAAAATGCAAATAGACAAAATAAATTAAGTTTTAACTAGTAAGTATTCAATGTCATGCTCTCTTATCAGTAGTTTAGCTGAAGGGAAACTACAGGGAAAAAATAAGCATGTATTGAACATATACAATATACGAACAAATTCTAAATTATGTATGGCAATTTTATTACTCAGCAGTTGAAAACTAATACACACAATAACATAAACAATTATTCAAATGCAGTATAACCTTACTTCCTGTACTGGACAGTATTATACAAAATTGGCAAACTAAGTGATATTTCTTCAATGACATCCATGAAATTGGAGATTTGTTTTTATAATTAACTAGAGACCCAATGCACAAAATTCATGCACTCAGGGTCCCTCAGCCTGGCCTGCACCCTCTCACTGTCCAGGAGCCTACTACAACTCTCTTGTATTCCTTATTTCTAAAACAGTTACCTACATCTTGCTGGTTTCTCATCTTCAGACACTCCTATTCCTGACTATCAAAATCTTAACAATCTTCCAAAACTCATGTTAAAAGTTACTCCATCAAAATACCTTTCCTTGATCAACCTGGCTCAAATAAACCTCCTATTTTTTATAACAAATTGAGGTTGTACTACCTTCCAGGTTCTTATGTTGTTTGCCCTGTAGTTACATATGTGCATTTATCTGTTGTAGTGATTACATTTTCTGAAAGGTATGTATGTTATAATAAAGTCTTAAATATCTTTCTTTATGTACATGCCCATCAGTTGAGCAGAGTACCTTATTTCTTTTAAATTATGTACTTCTCAAATTAAAAAAATTTTTTTACATTTACCAAGTAATTTATTTTTATTTTCACAGGACTTGGTAAACAAGAGATAAAGAAAAGTGAAGACTCATATGTAATACTTTCAACAATGATTAAAAAGAAAAGTGAAGACTAGTGGGATAAAAACACTTTTTCAAACCACAGAGTTAGGAGGTGAAGGCTATTCCTTGAACAGAATTCATCTGACAAAGTTTGGTACATTTTCCAATGTAGTTTGCCTTTTATAAATATAACTAGAGGCCCGGTGCATGAAAATTTGTGCACTCGAGTGGGGTGGTCCCTCAGTCCGGCCTGCACTCTCTAGCAGTCCAGGAGCCCTCAGAGGATGTCCGATTGATGGCTTAGGCTGCTTCCTGTGGCCTAAGTCTGGCCTCCCTCTGTGGGAGGTGATTAGCGGTCGCCACCGCCCCCAATCGCAGTCCCCTCCCTCTGCCTACTGGCACCCGCCTTGGCTGGCCTGGCACTGCCTGCTCGCCAGGCCTGCCCCCCACCTACTGGTTGTCTGCCCTTTGGTCGACTTGCATATTAGGCTTTTATTATATAGGATGGTTGGTGATAATGAGTAACTTCAGTCCTGTCTGTTTATATTATGGAAGTAAAGCACAGTAGAGATACCCTACTGGTAAACTGACCTAATAATATAGGAAATAAGTTTTTGTAACACAACTATGTATTCATGCTAAAAATGTATCTGAAATATTATTTAAAAAATTAATGAATACATATTAACCAAATGCTTCCTGTTATAGAGGGAAAAAAACTTAAAACTTACTTGCAGAAGCATCCCAAAATTTTATTGATCCATCTGCATGACTAGATGAAAAATAAATTAGCATTAATTAAAGTATATTAAATAAAAATAATCATTTTTTATTTATTTAAAAGTATAAAACTTGAGTTGCTGTTAAAATTCAATTAAAAATACTGTTCCAATGAAAACTAGAGTACACTAAATCATTTATAAGCTCAAGAAAATTGTTTACATTTAAAACAATACATTAAAATTTAAATTGAAGAAAGAACAATAATTACTTAGATTTTACTCTAAGATAATTTTGTGTGTAATAAGAGAGCAATGAAAATGGATCTGTGGGAAAAAAATATTTTTTAATATAAAATTGTTTACACTCAATAAAAAAAGATAGTTGGGGCAATTTTGATTATGTTAAAATAATTTTGAAATGAATATCATGGTGAAATTAAAGTTTCAAATTATAAAAATCAAATTCTTAAACCTAACTAGATTTTCATCATTATATGCTAATAATAGCAATTCTATAAGAACTTACCAAGAAAATAAAATAGGATAAAATACTTCCCAACACATTTTATGAGGTCAGTTTTATCCTGATACCAAATCAAGGAAAAAATATTACAAGAAAATTACAAATTAATATTCCTCAAGCATGGGCATAAAAACTGTCAACAAAATATTAGCAAACCAAGTGAAGGAATAAATAGAAAGGATCATACATCAAAGCCAGTGAAACATTTAAAAAAAATCATATTGTAATTCATGATACTAAAAGATTAAAAAAGAAAAAACACATGATCATCTCAATAAATGCAGAAAAAGCATTTGACAAAAATTACCATTCATTCATGAAAACAAAACACACACCCCTCAACAAACTAGAAACAGGAACTTCTTCAACCTGCTAAAGAGCATCTAGGAACAACCTTCAGACTCCTCATATAAATGAAGTCATATGGTATCTGTCTTTCTCTGACTTATTTCACTTAAGATAATATTCTCCAGCCCTGACTGGTTTGGCTCAGTGGATAGAGCGTTGGCATACATTAATATTACTGATAAATAATAGGAGTCTATAATTGTTATACAATGTAACACAAATACAAGATATACGTTAAAAGGTATAATTATTGCCCTAACCAGTTTGGCTCAGTGGATAGAGCGTCAGCCTGCGGGGACTCAAGGGTCCCAGGTTCGATTCCCGTCAAGGGCATGTACCTTGGTTGCGGGCACATCCCCAGTAGGGAGTGTGCAGGAGGCAGCTGATCGATGTTTCTCTCTCATCGATGTTTCTAACTCTCTATCCCTCTCCCTTCCTCTCTGTAAAAAATTAAGAAAATATATTTTTAAAAAAAGATAATATTCTCCAGGTCCATCCATGTTGTTGCAAATGGCAAGATTTCATTCTTTTTTATGGCTGAGTAATATTCCATTGTATATATGTGCTACATCTTCTTTATTCATTCATCTGTTGATAGACACCCAGGTTGCTTCCATATCTTGGCTATTGTAAATAATGCTGCAATGAACACAGGGGTGCTATATATATTTTCAAATTGTTTTCATTTTCTTTGGATAATTACCCAGAAGTGGAATTCCAGGACCATATGGTAATTCTAGCTTTAATTTTCTGAAGAATCCACATCCTGTTGTCCATATTAGCTCACTAATTTAAATTCCCATCAAAAAGTACACAAGGGTTCCCTTTTCTCAATATCTCAATATGAGGTGATATCTCATTGTAGTTTGGAGTTACATTTATCTGATGATTAGTAATGCTGAGCATCTTTTCATGTGTCTGTTGGCCATCTATAAGTCCTCTCTAGAGAAATGTCTATTTGGATCCTCTGCCCATTTTTTAAAAATATATTTTATTGATTTTTTTTACAGAGAGGAAGGGAGAGGGATAGAGAGTTAGAAACATCGATGAGAGAGAAACATTGATCAGCTGCCTCCTGCACACTCCCCACTGGGTATGTGCCCGCAACCAAGGTACATGCCCTTGACCAGAATCGAACCTGGGACCCTTGAGTCCGCAGGCCGATGCGCTATCCACTGAGCCAAACCAGTCAGGGCTCTGCCCATTTTTAAATTGGATTTTTTAAATGTTGAATTCTATGCGTTCTTCACATACTTTTGATATTAACCCCTTATCAGACGTAACATTTTTCATCCTTTTTTTCCTTTTTTCTTCTGACTCAATAATTTTATATTAGCTATTTTCTAGTTCACTGATTCTTTCTTCTGATTAAGTCTGAAGTTGATCCCTTCTAATAAATTTTTCAATTCAATTATTGTATTCTTGTGCTTCAGACTTTTCATAGTTTCTCTTTGTTTTTATTCCCATTTCACTCATGCCTTATTTTTTAAAATTTCAGTTAGTTGTTTATCTGTGTTCTCTTATAGTGCACTGAGCTTTATAAATATAATTATTTTTATAAAATTATTTGTCAGGTAATTCACATATCTCTATTATTTGTCAGGTAATTCACATATCTCTATTTCTTTTTGTTGTTGTTATTAATCCTTACCTGAGGATATTTTTCCATTGCTTTTAGATAAAGTGGAAGTGAGGGAGAGAGGGGAGAGAAGAGAGGGAGGGATGGAAGGAGGGACATTGAAACATCAGTGTGAGAGAGACACATCAATTGGTTGCCTCCTGCATGTGCCCCAACTGGGGCCTGGGAATGAATCTACAACCCAGGTACTACCCTTGATCAGGAATCAAATCCAATGCCCTTCAGTGTCGGGGCTGATGCTCTAACCACTGAGAAACACTAGCCAGGACACAGATCTCTCTTTCTTGAGGGTCAGTTTCTGTATGTTTATTTTGTCCCTTGATTGGGCCACATCTCCCTTTTTCTTTGTGTGCCTGATTTCTTGTTGGGAATTTGTACTTTGAAAATACAGCCTCCTCTTATGAACTGGCTTTGTACAGGAGAAGACCTTTTGAAATTTGGTAGCAATCATCTCAGGTAGAAACTGTAGTTTAACTTTAACCCTGCTGTTTGGCTTCTGTACTTATTTGCTTTGTTTAACAATAGAAAAGTTACTTTGGTTTTCTGAACTTATGTATGCTATCCCACTCGACTGAATGCTCTGTTGTTGGTGGTTTGAATACCCCATTGATTGTGATCTCACTGGTTTTAGAAAGCACATTCTTCTGTACCTGGGAACCAGGACAACACAATTGCCTCAGTGGCTCCAGATAACGTGTTTCTGTTGACTCAGTGGTCCCAAGACCCGATGGCTCCAGATAATGTGTTTCTGTCAACTCAGTGGTCCCAAGATCCATGGCTCCAGGCAATGTGCTTCCGTTGATTCAGTGATCCGGAGACCCAAAACTATAATTTAACTAACTTGCTCAATTCTGCTTCTGTAAACTCCTTTTTTGCAAACCAGGTTCCTCATTCCAAACCCTGAGATGTAATCAATACCTTTGTGATTTTTGCCTATATAAATCTGGTGTTGGGACTAGGTAATTACTACGAGATTTGAGAGAGCAGAATGCCCCCTCATAGTCCCGGATTTGCAATAAATGTGACTCCTTAATTCGACTTCTTGAGGCGTCCTTGTTTGATTTGCGGGGTACATTACAACACTTTTCCAATCAGCTTAGGTAGAAATCTTTGGGACTCTCAAATCTTTAATGGGGATGGGTCTTCTATGGACTTGTGTTTATATAATTTCCCAATTAGAGAAGTTTGCTGGTTTTCTTCAGGAGCTTGTAGTCTCATGCTCCCTCTATTGTCTATCTTCAGTATTGCAAGTTTGGGGGAGGGGGACACTTCAACAAACACTGAGCTCTTTGCTCTCTGCAGCCCCCAGGGAACCAAGTTCCATCAGTACTCAGATTCAGGTGAGACAGAAACTAATCTCTTGGGAAAACCCCTGAAAAGCAGGAATATTGGGTATACATTCTACTTCTCTTTTTCCTTCTGATGAGAGAAGGTGCAACCTGGGCTTTCCTCCTGAACACAAGCTGTGCCAATTTTGTGGAGAAGCTGACATAGTTGAAATAAAATTAAATGGCTATTTTAACCCATTTCAATGTGGCTGAACTTGGCTTTGAGTTTGCCTGGGCACTACAACTTTTTACTGGTTTCTCAAGTTTTCATAAAAACTTTTGGACCACATATTGTTGTTATGTCAGTGTCTCCATGGGGAAACAAGGTCTAGGACTATCCTGATATCTTGCTGATGTCACTCTCTGTAATTATTTTATAGAGTATTTTTTCAATTCCTTTTCTCTCAACCTGCCCATACTGTTATATTTGAAGTGAATGTATTGTAAATAGCATGAAGTTGGGTCATAATTTTTAATCCTCTCTGCCAATCTGTGAATTTGAATTGGTGTATTTAGAGCATTTAAACTTAAACTTAATCATGGGTAAGTTAGGACTTCAGTCTGTCTTTTTTCCTTTCATGTTTTTTTCCTGCCTGCCTATGGGTTAACTGAATTATTTTAATCATCCATTTTGGTGTGTCAGTGTTTTTCAGTGTTTCTGTTTGCATTGGTTTTTAATGGTTGCTTAAAGTATAACAACTTATCACAATCAACTGGTGTCATATTACCATTTTGAGGGGAGTATAAAACCCCCACCTTCCTTTACATTACTTTACCATCTCCTATTTATAATTGTCTTAAAGATTTCCCCTCTACATATGTAGAATTACATCAGACCATCAGACAATGTAACTATAGTATTTATCCAACCATGAAATATAGTTTTTAAAAGTCAAGAGAAAAAAAGGCTATTGTATTTACCCATATTTTTGCTTACTGTGTTTTTCCTTCCTTCTTGATATTCCAGGGTTCCTTCTTTTATCATTTGCTTTCTGCTTAGAGAACTTCCTCTAACTACTTTTTTAGGGTAGGTCTGATGCTGACAAACTGTTTCCTTCTGAGAAACTGTTGATATTTCCTTCCTTCCTGAATGATAATTTGTTGGGTATAGCATTTTGGGTTGCCACTTTTTTTCTAGCAGCATTTGAAATTTAGTTTTCCTTCTGGCCTCTACAGTTTCTGATGAGAAATTCACCATCATTCATAGGGTGACTACAGAATTTTGCCCTATAGTCATTTCTCTTGCTGTTTTCATATTTTTTTCTTAGTGTAATGTTCAGAGTTTTGACTATGATGTGACTTGTGGGTTTCTTGTGGTTCATTCAGTTTCTGAAAACTACAGGTTCATGTCTTCTGCCAAATTTGGAAAGATTTCAGTAATCATTTCCTTATATACGTTTTTTAGTCCTGTTCTCTCCTTATTCACTGGATTTCCACTGACACTAAAGTAGAGGACATGTGGCTCATTATTGCTTGGCAGTGGTGAAAATTCTGGCCTCCCACATGACTCTGTAACCCCACAGATGATGGGTTTCATCACCAGCAAGCAGAGTTAAAAGTCCCAGATTCCTACTCAGCCTTAGTTCAGTGTCAGAAAATGATACTCCTCTCAGGAGGAAGCTGAAGCACCTTTTTACAGCCTAATGAGGTTGAAAATCTAGGCTCCCCAATCTGCCTTTGCTTGAGTGAGTTGGGGTGACAATTAGCTGGAGTAGAGAGATTATTTTCTAAAAGTTTTCTGTATCAATAGGCTACCCCTTTGCTCATCCTTTGGCTAGAGAGAACTAGCTTTTGTTAGTGTTTGGTGTGTTTGTTTGTTTGTGACCACTGGCAGATCTAGGTTGCCAGCTTCTTCAGCTCCAATTCTGGAATATATAAGGCAAAAAGAAAACCCAGGAAACTTACCACCATGTCATTCCTTAGAACTTGGGAGCCTTGCCAGTCTGACTCTCCATCTTTCTGAGTCATATTATGTTTGTTTAATATATAATATTCAGGGTTTTTAGTTGTATTCAGTGGGAAGAATAGGGAAAAGTACATCTACTCTACTATCACATAAGCAGAACACCTTATTATCTTTTAAATCTCATCTTTATCTGTTGCTATGTCTCTATTTTCATTCTGAATATTAGAGCATTTAGTAGGCTGCTACAGAAAATGGTAACATTTCTGGTGTTATAAATTTTGAAGCATACTTTATATAACTACCTGATGGGACTATAGAACAATGACTTGGCAAGAACTAAGAGATGTTTTTAAGGGCCTTTCTAAAGCTAATAATCTGATTTCCACAGGAATTCTTCCTTGATTAGTCTTTTGTAATTTTTCTTTCTTTTACTTTTCCTACCCTTACACTTAATTATTTTTGTGGTATGTTTATGTTTTCAGTGGTTTCATTCTATCTTCCACCAATGTTATAATCTTTGGATAGCATTTTACTTTTACTTGAATAGTCAATCTGCCTAGAGCATAATTATGAGAAATTGTAAAAATTCAATGAAATATATTTGATAATAAATTGATAAATTTAAAAATCACATCCCACTTACCCAGTAATAATAATTTCTGGATATGTCTGTGTCCCAAGGTTCCAAGCTCCTCCAGTGATTGGCCACTCCTAAACATATTATCCAAGAAAAATTTATGTTTACTTTTAAAATTTGAATAACTTATACATTTTAAGTGAAAATATTTTAAAATAAAATATTTCCTTATAAGTCAGTAGCTATAAAGTAATGGAGGATGATGTATGTAGCTATCTTTTAATTCTTTCACTCAAATGTATAATTCCAAATGTATAATTCCATCACCTTTAAAAATATTGATTTTAACAAAGATTAAAAAGTTGAAGTATTTTCAATTATAAAAATATAGTGTTGTTACATTTGCCATATAATCTGTGTACTGCCAAACTATTCTGATGCCATTTAACACGGAATACAATGTAAACTGTGCCCTCCTTGAGTTGTCCACCCCAAAAAACCTGTACAAATAATAGAAAACATAATAGGTGGTCTACTACAATTGTAAGTATTTGAATCCTGTAGATGAAATTCCAGAAAGTTATTTAGCAAATGACTTTTGATAATTATGTCTTGTTAATCACTGATTGATAAAAACTGATTAAGTAGGAAGAGTAGACTTAAATTTCTTAAAACATAATCCTTCACCCAAAATAACTAAAAGTTACCTTATAATCCAAATCTGTTCCTTTAAATATATACATATATATATATATATGTGTGTGTGTGTATATATATAATAGATAAGTATATATATGTATATATAAAATATAAGTTTATATTTCTGTAGGTTTAAATCTATGTAGCATTTAGGAAATTTGAATTCCAGAGGTTATGTCTTTTATTGATTCCAGTTTGTAATCTCAAGAGAATTTTTCAAGTCTTTTTATGGAAATTCTGAAAATAATATAACAAAAAAAATGTGATCACATGACATGAATTCAAGATAATTTATTTTTAATTGTTACTTTTACCTTATTACTATATCCTTGTTTTTTATGCTTGACTCCTATAGCGTAGAGTACTAGTATCAAATCTGGTGGGCAATCAGCAAAGTACGCTGTGCACGTAACTGGTGATTCGTGTATGTCCATGGGATACGGATTTTCAAAGATTGGAAAGCTAATAGGTAAACACAATATATTAAGTTCATTTTGCAATGATAAAAAGTAAAATAACTTTTATAAAACACTCTAAAATATTCTATATTTTAATTATGTATTTCACTTAATTATTTTTTAAGCATCATAAAACAAGAATCATATGAATAAGAATTATTTTAAGTACTTATCTATAAAATGAAATATAAATATTGGGAGAATTTTACTTGAATAATGAATTTTCTTGCCATAATTCAAAAATTCCACAGTAATATTACTTTTATCTAAATATTTATATAACATACTTAAAAGTATTAAAATATATTCTTAGTAAGTTTGACATGTTTTTCAAGGGAGATAATATATAAGTGAGTTTTTTGTTTTTGTATTTTTTGCAGGAGTAATTGAAAGTTGTGCATGATTATAGCATGTTTAATATAATTTCCTATGCAAACTAGAGAACATAGTGAGAATGCAGTCTTATGGATTCAGCATATTTGATATCCTCAAGCCTACTATAATTTTAAGAGGCATATAAGTACAGGACCAAATTAATAATTCTTATAGCCACAATATATTGTGCAGCTCTTATGTACCAGATGTACCAGACACTGCAGTAGAAGGAACCAAATATTATTCTACATTCCGTCTGTTCCAGGTTTGTGTAATCATGTTACTTCTGATATAATGTGTGTTTGGGGGGCTATTAAAATAATTTCCCACCCCTAGTTGGTTTGGCTCAATGGATAGAGAGCATCAGCCTGCAAAGTGAAGGGTCCCAGGTTCGATTCCAGTCAAGGGCACATGCCTAGGTTGCGGGCTCAATCCACAGTAGGGGGTGTGCAGGAGGCAGCCAATAAATGTTTCTCTCTCATCATTGATGTTTCTATCTCTCTCTTCCTTCCTCTCTGAAATCAATAAAAATATATTTTAAAAATAAAAATAATTTCCTCCCCTCACTGTTAGGAACTTAATAAATAACTTAGTCCAATCTTCAGAGAATATGGTGTGTGTGTGTGTGTGTGTGTGTGTGTGTGTGTGTGTACGTGCTACAGACAGTTTCCCAGATAGGAACAGCAGTATATGCAAAATCAGGTGGGGAGAAACAAGCTGTGTTTAAAAAATGGCAAGTAGGTTAAACTGCATGGATCAGAGATCCCCTCTTTCAGAGTAGAAATTATCAATATTTCTTAGATGGAAGAACTGGAAGTAAAATAAATGGATCACCTTAAAGATCAGATCTACAACTTGGCATCTGATAATAGCAAGTGGTTACAATGATAGACTCCTAACAAGGTGAACAATATTGTAAAAATGTTTGGGGGAAAATATTTTAGTATATTGGTAAAGAGCATAGAAAAAGATATTTAAGAAAGAAATAATAACTAAATATGTATTATAGGAATTTAGATGTAAAAGTGTAAATTGGTTGCTGTAGAAATGTAAACAAAGCTACAAATCCAAGAAACCAAGAAAAGAAAAAAATTTCTAAGCCCTAATGTTTGCTTTTATGTAGAAGATTAAATACGGAGGTGGAGGGAAGGAAGGAAGGAGAGCCCAGAAGTTCCAATCAAGATGGCAGAGAAGATAGAGGCTGCACTCATTTCCTCCCATTACCACATCAAAATAATAACTAAATTATAGCACAACCAACCTGAATTACCATCTGAAGACTAGTTGAACAGAAGTCATATATGATATACAGAAGATGACACACAGAGACTGATAGAAGGGGAGGAGACACAAAATGAACCAGCCCTGCTCCTGCATGTAGCAATTGAGGATCCAGAGGGATATGTCCCCTGAGGAGTGAGGAATTTCAGCCCCACACCAGGCTACCCAGCCTGGAACACCAGTGCCAGGAAGAGGAGCTCACATAAAATCTGGCAGTGAAAATTAGCCAGGCTCCCGTCCCCCATAAGTACCCATCAATAGATGAGTGGGTAACCCAAGTACCCATCAATAGGTGAGTGGGTAAAGAAGTTGTGGTATATATACAATGAAATATTATTTGGCCATAAAAAAAGAATGTGACAGGATAGGTGGATCTAGAAGTTATTTATTATGCTAAGTGAAATTAGTCATACAGAGAAAGACAAATACCATATGACTGCTCTTATAAGTGGAATCTAAAGAGAAAAAAAGAACAAACAAAACAGAAACAGATTCCTAGATACAGAGAACAAAATTTTGGTTGACAGATGGAAAGGGGTTCAGGGGAAGGGTTAAAACAGTGAGGGGATTTAGTACAAACTGGTAGTTATAAAATAGTGATATGGGTGTAAAAGTACAGCATAGGAAATATAGTTATTAATATTGTAATAACCATGTATGGTGCTAATGGGTACTGGAAATATCAGGGGGATCATTTTGTAAAGTATATGATTGTCTAATCACTATGCTGTACACTATAAAATAATACAAAATAATATTGAAAGTAAAGTGTAACTGAAAAATTAAACTTCTAAAAATACATTTAATTTTAAAAATTAAAAAACACAGTGTAGAATTAAAAAAAGAAAAAATGGTGTCTAGGTTTCTAGTACAGATGGCGAAGTGTGTAAATACAGTATTCGCCTCCTCCCATGACCACATCAAAATTACAACTAAACTACAGAACAACCATCATGGAGACCCACCCAAAGTCTAGCTGAACAGAAGTCCTATAAATAGGGATATACAAAAGAAGCCACATTGAGTCTGGTATTAGGGAAGAAGAGGTGAAAAGGACTGGTCCCACACCGATGTGTGGCAGTTCAAAATCAGCAGGAATATCTGGGCTCGAAGATCCTCCCTTGGAAGCAAGGAATCCAAACTCCCCATCAGGCTCCCCAGCCCAGGGTTCCACAACCAGGAAGAGAAGTTCCCCATAACTTCTGGCTCTGAACACCAGCAGAGATTGTGGCTGAGTGAGTTAGTGACTCCAGTGAATGCCCTGGAGTCACAGGCATTATTCTTAAAGGACCCAAACACAAACTTATTGCTGATGGATTCAATTGCTCTGAGCTCCAGCAGTGCAGTGGCAACTGGAAGGATGCCAGGAACATACAGGGAGGAATTGAATTGTCTGGCTTCAGGGCAAGAGCTAGAGGGGAAACTTTTTTTCCAGACAAAAGTACTGGCAGAAGCCATTGCTTCTTTGCTAAGTTCTTCCCATGTGGGTGCAGGTGGGCATCATATATGAATCTCCATCAATCTGGCTAACACTGTCCTCACCCTATTGATTCCCTTGGACTCACAGCACCCAACTTCTGGACCCACCCAAATCACTGCTGTGCTTTATTGGAGAATCTTTTGATGACTATAGTGATGATGTGTGTGGAGCTGTTATTAATGTTAGAGCTAACAGTGATAAGACAGCAATATGGACTACTAAATGTGAAAACAGAGAAATTGTTATACATATAGGGAGGGTATACAAGAAAGATGTGATTGGTTATCAGTCCCATGCAGACACAGCAACTAAGAGCGGCTCCACCACTAAAAATGGGTTTGTTGTTTAAGAAGATACCTTTTGAGTATTCTCATAAGAGACTACATCAAGCTATTGAGATTTGGGAGCTGAACCAAAACCTCTTCAAAAGCAGAGGGAACTGCATTTAAATTTGATTTCCATGCAAATGTTGCTAAGATATAAGAGAAGTCCATTTGCCTTTGTCATACTCCATGTGGAGACAAAGCCTGTCTTCACTCTGAGGCCCAAAGTCTGGCAGGAGACAGTCTTTAAAATAATAAGAAATGTAAAATTTCATCTTTGTCAAAAGCTATGAAGAAGATAAACATGGGAACTATGAAAGTCCTTAATAGGATACTTGACCAAATTATCTAGATAAAAAAGATTTTTTACTGAGAAAATGATATCTGATTTGAGACTTATAAATAAGACATTAATAATGAGAAGAAGAAAGAGATTATTCCATGTAAATGAAGCCCTTGCTGTTTTGGCTCAGTGGATAGAATATAGGCCTGCAGACTGAAGGCTCCTGGGTTTGATTCTGGTCAAGGACACATACCTTGGCTGCAGGCTCCATCCTCGATCCCCAGCCCTAATCTGGGTGCATGCAGAAGGCAACCAGTTGATGTGTATCTCACATCAATGTTTTTCTCTCTCTCTCTGTCTCTCTAGTGTCTCTCCTTTCCTTTCACTCTCTCTTAAAAAAAATCAATGGAAAAATATCCTCGGTGAGGATTAACAAAACAAACAAACAAAAAAAAGCAGTAGCAGCAGCAGCTAAATGAAGATTTGTGGGTCCAGAGCACAGAATGAGGGAAAATCAGATTTATGCCTATCATCATTTATAATGAGTATGTGTAGCAAGGAAGACAGAGTTCATCAATTTCAAGTCTATGTTTTATTGTCCATGTAAAGGAGTGGACAGCACCACTCTTACAGCAATATTTTCTATTTGTTCCCATTGCCCACAACATAACGAGAATTTATTTTAAAAAGTAAAAGAGGGCCTCCATCTTATCTGTCTCCATCATCCTGTCCTGCTCTTTCGTATTGACTGATGAAGTAGTCCAATAATACTTTTATCATGTGCCATTTCCCTTTAGACTAGCAGATGGCCACATAGTACACTGTACATTTTTTTCCTAACAGCTGCTTTTGCTTAGGGAAGTAGCAGAAATGTGATCCATTTTGTTTGTTCTGATTCTCTAAACATTAGGTGCTGCCTTTAAAATCTCTTTGATGTTCTCAGTGTTCTCTTCACTTTTCCAGTTTAGTTTTCATTACTGAACCAAATTACATTTCTGTAATTCTAGCAAAACAACAGTCCACATAAAGAATATTTACCATCTAAAAATACTAATGTCAATTATTTATAATTCCCTCCAGTATTTTAACTGTAATGAACAGATTTAAAAATAGTTAGTGGTATTCTGAACATGCATAACTTACTTGCTTTGTGTCAGATCAACTACAATGAGATCTTTCTCCAGAAGTACTACGACTGCATAGGGTTCTTGAAATTCTACAAGTTAAAAAAATGAAAAAAATTCATATTTCACATTCTATAAAATCACCAAACTTTCACTTCCTTTATCTCCTGTACAAATGTTATTTAAATGATTTGAGAAGACCAAAATATGAGTCCAAGTAAGAAGTATGAAGAGCACATTAAAAAACATATAGGTTGTATTTCTCAAACTTAATGTTTATGACCATGACAGGGAACAAGAAAAAAATGAGAAGTTGCATAGCATAGAGTTAAATATATCTAAAAAATAATGAGGTAGTGATAGTAGATTATTTGAGGAGAGTGAGTCTGTCATCTCCATCTCATAAACACTTATTCTTCTATAACCTTACATTTTAGATTTAATTTCATGCTTGCAAGGAAATCTACTAAAGAAACAGTAGTTCTGCTTCTCTGATCTATGATACATATTATTTCCCTATGAAAGCAACACTAATATTAAAAATTTTACTTTCAATTCAGTGTGATTTAACATGTATTTAAAGATTGCCTACTATGTGCCAAATGGTATACACCCCAAAAAAGCAGAGAATCTAAGGATAGTCTAAGATTTTCAAGTTCTTAAAATTCAACTCGTTCTTTTTCTATTCATCCCTTCCTTTCTCCAATATGTTCCAGAAACTTTGTAAGAGCAAAGGACATATGGAGAATAAAGTTGACAAGGTCCATGTTCTCATGGAGTTTACACTCTAGGGATGTATACAAACCATGAACAGTAATGTGAGCTATAAAAAAATAACATGGATAATGGTATAAGAAATTACTGTGGTTGGTGTGGGAGCACTAATTTAGTTGTAGTGGTTAGGGAAGACATTGCTTTTCATCTATAATAAAGAATAATGGAAAGCCACAATTAAAGTGTTATTCTAAATTGAAAGAAAAAGTTTTTACAAAAACCTTTTACATACATGATATTTGATTCTCAGTAGCTAGAGCAAATATCAATATTTTTCTATTTCATAGGGAAAATTGAGGTCCAAAATGGTTACAAGATTGGCACAAGTTTACAAAGCTAGTGATAGAGCTGAAATTTTAACCCAGAATTCCTGACTCTAAATTCCATCCTGCTTTCATTATACCAGCAGTTTCTACTGGCCAGTTTAGTATTTAATCCTAAATTCAACAATTACTTGGCAGTAATTTCATCCACAGTATTCTAGTCTTGGATGGAAAACTGGAATAGATGGCTTTCACATTCCTTCCAGTCCTAAGAAGCTATAGAAACTATTCGTAAATCATATGCTATAGGAGAAAAACTAAAATAAAACCTTAAAACTCAGAAGGAGCATGCCATTGTTTGGGTGTCTATCTATGTGACAATATGCAGTCATACTGCTTGCTACTCAAACTGTTCTCAAACTAAGGCTCTTTGCCCCTTTTATCTTATTTCTTAAAGTTGTTTTTCAACATTGTTTCAATACTTCTGGGTTGTTTTGTTTTGTTTTTCAATTGGAAGAACATTGGGGTTTTATGCTACTAGTTTCTTCTTTTTCTTGTCTCCCCTCTTTAGGAAAATCATCTGTTGGAAAGCACAGATTATTTTTAGGAGACTACATAAGAAGTTTAGTAATAGTGGTTGCCTCTGGAAGGGCAGAGAGAGAAAGTTTTCATTATATACTGTTGTGTATTGAAGGGTACTTTTCTGGCATTTTCATGTATTATTTTAATTATAAATAGTTAATAAAGTACATTTATATTTTACTGAGTAAAGTTAAACTATTTCTCCTAACCCTTGACCAAAAAAAAGCTCCATCCTCATTACCACTTCTCTGAAAAACAGATATATATGTGGCTTAGAAGTTGATTAGACTTGGTTACAATACATTTATAATTTATTATTACTAGAAATTATCCTAAAATTTCTACTGATGTATAGAAATTTATATATAAACACACACATGGTGTTTGATTTTTGCAACCATACATTTTGAGTTTTTATTACTGGCATACACATCTTCTTTCTCTAGGCTCTTTAATTGGGAGGAATTTTCATAAACTCAGCTTTTGGTCCTCTGTTCTTTCTTCCTTTCTTTCTTTATCATTCATTCTCATAACTCCAAAGAACATCTATATTCTGATGTTCACAAATAAATATTAAATATTTTTTCCTGTTCTCTAAACAACTCCATAATCAGACTTACCTTTCTCTCCTTCAAAAAACTATTACTGAATATGTAACTACTATTCTTAAAATTTGTTATCTTTGACTCATCTACCATGTCATTCCTAATCCAATTGTTGACCAAATTCAGTGCATTTTCTTCTTTTCAGTTCCTACAGGCAGTACTCTGTTTCAGATCTTGACCATTTTAAAGCATATTATCACAAAAGCCTGCCAGCTAGAATCTGGAATTTTTTAGATTTCAGTGTCTCTCTTTCTTCAAACCCACAAACTCCTTTTGGGCAAATCATACTAAAAACACTGCTTTCTTTCATTTTAGTATTTTCTCAGAATTCCTCTGTAGCTCCCTATTTCCAAATACCTCCAAAGGCTTTCAATTATTTGTCTAAATTGACCTCATGCTAACCTCACAATTTCTAAAACATTAGCTCAATATCCTTTTTCAAGACTCAAGTCATTCTTCAAAGCCTAGCTAAATCCTCTTTCCACAAACCTTTGCATGAATAGTTCAGTCATCGACTATTTGACTAACCTGAAATTAGTACAATTAAAAAACTTAAGATGTCACATTTTAAAACTTAAGTCATAATTATCTCCCTCATCTGACCATATTTTATATAATTTGACATCAGAGATCAGTTTCATACTCCATTAGTATTCTCAACAAATTCTTATAGTATTGAGGCCACAGAAGCATCCCATAAGTATTTGTTAACAACACAGGCAATTTATCTGTCCCCAGCAATTCTAGAAATAAAGTGCCACTTTGATTGTCATCTCTTATCTACTTAACCCATCTTTAAAACATGAAACTAAAGAATAAAACAAACTAATATGTATAATAAAACTCACAATTTATCTTCTTAGTTTATAAAGTACATTCACTTTAGCCTTCCAATAATCATTTGGAATCAATATCATTATTCTCTTTCTACAAGTGATAAATGAAACTCAAACATAAAGTGACTACTTATCCAAGGTCACATAGCTAGAAAATGGCAGCGGTAAATCATAAACCCAAATATTCTGCAAGTCTAAGTCTCCAAGTCCAGTGCTCTTTCCCCTATATCTATATGTGGGAATGTATATATACACTATGTTTTAATCATAAACTAATAGTTCCTTTTTATGTTTCACCCTTTTAAATGTTTAGATTTCATTATTAAAATATTTCATTATCATTAGATTCCATTATATAATTTACATATAGTTTAGATTAATTTTTATGTTTACAAGAAGTCTTTAAATTTGGGCTGATAAAAATATATCAGCATCTCTCCTCCTGAAGATCCTTCAGACAATTATTCTCAAAATTGAAATAAATCACTAACCACACATCAGCAATCCCAGAGTAATCAGAGGTGCTGCAGTTGCATCTGAAGCAAAGCCAGATGTGAAACAGATGCAGCACCACCAGAGTTACAGATCACTGATATTAGGTAAGTGCTTTAACTTTGATTGGCTTTGGAATGGGATGGGTGGAGCTGGTCTAGGAGAGGCTACTAGGAGACCTCAATTTCCCCAAGTGATTTCACCCTGGACCCCTATAGGACCCTCCCAGCTCAGCTTCCACCATCCTTATCAAAGTTTAAAGCACTTACCTGATATTGAACCTGAAACTCCAGCACTGCTGCACTACATCTGTTTTACTTCCAGTTCGTCAAGTAGGTACAGTTGCAGAACCTGCTCCAGCCCCTGTAGCTCACAGTGTTGTACCACAGTAGATGCCAGCTGTCAAAACTAAAAATATTTAAGCTTAATTTTGTTAGGAACTTATTTCAAAAAATGATTTTTCAACACAAATACTTTCATTTTAGTTACTTACCATTCGGATAGGGTGTTTCACATAAAGTTAGAAATTCAACAATAGGATGATCCATTTCAAGTACTGTAATTGCTTTTCCATGCATGATGGTTAAACTCGGTCTTCTGCAAGCTTTGTCATAGGACAGTCCACCAGAAAATATTATAAATGGTTCGCTGTATAGGAAAAAAATTTAATAAGACTGAGAAGTCCTTTTAGATGACACAATGTCACAGGATTGAGCCAATAAACTGGGTGGAGAGCTTATATAACGTAATTACACAGGAGAACAAAAATCTTTTCCTATGCTCTAACTGGTTTGGCTCAGTGGATAGAGCGTCGGCCTGCGGACTGAAGGGTCCCAGGTTCGATTCCAGTCAAGGGCATGTACCTTGGTTGCAGGCACATCCCCAGTAGGAGGTGTGCAGGAGGCAGCTGATCGATGTTTCTCTCTCATCGATGTTTCTAACTCTCTATCCCTCTCCCTTCCTCTCTGTAAAAAATCAATAAAATATATTTTTAAAAAAATCTTTTCCTGTCCCAAAATATCTCACCCAACAATTTACTATTTTTCCATTTCCCTTTTACTGAATATACATTCTCACCATTAAAATTATTAATGAATCAGTCTTAAGATGCTGAGGTGGGGGAAAGGGAAAGGCAGTGAGGTAAAAGGGAGGTGAAGGGGTCACTGACTCAAAAAGACATTCTCACATATAGTATTAGTTGGTTCCCAAACTTTAAATCACTAAATATAGGCTATGTTAGTTTTTTTCATATTAATCAGTTAGTATGTTGGGTCCCAAATCTCAAAAAGAAAAAGGAGGCAAGTTTTAATATGAAATAAAATGTGACAGTGGCAAAACCAAAATGGTAGGAGGTAACATGAAAATTCTATGCAATGGAGTTTCTGTGGGAAAAGGTTATGATAAATAGATGGAGAAAACTAATGTGTAAGGGAAAAATAATTCACCAAACGAAATGTGATCTTATTCTCAATTTTACTTAGTGCCAGCCAGTTCTATTTAGCTTATAAAATTAACATCAATTAATTTTTTAATTCTCTGTTAGTTGCAAGATACAATTAGATAGAGTGGGAATGAGATGACTATAAGATAGCATAGCTATTAGAAAGTTATTAAATAGCTTCATAATTTTTCACTTTTCTCCAGTTAATACCTATATATCTAATATCTATACTAATAAAAGGGTAATATGCTAATTAGACTGGGAGACCTTCCAGGAGACCTTCTGGACGTTCTTCTGGACAAAGCCATGGTGGCGGGGCCGAGGTAGAGGCGGTTAGAGGCCAAGAGGGGAGGGCAGTTGTGGGTGATCAGGCTGCTGAGGGGCAGGGCCTTTGGGGGTAAGCAGACAAGCAGGGGGGCCAGTTGGGGGCAAGCAGGCCATCAGTGGGGGTCAATTGGAGGTGATGAGGACAGCGGGGGGGGGCAGTTTGGAGTGAGAC